ACCTTACACGAAATAGGGTGAATACATCTCATTACACTGAGTTACTGGTAGTCTCGAAACCCTATTCACTCATGATATTTCATTGTTTGCATCATTGGCTTCTCACCCATTCTTTCTTTAACTTTTATCATGCTCTTTTTCTTGTTTATATGCACTTTCTATTTTAATTATATTCTGCTCTCTCGGTAGTCTACTATTTTATGCTACTCTCTAAAATTTTTGAAGTATATTTTACTGTCTCTTCCTCCATTTCCTGCTCGCCTTTTGCCTTTGCTCCACATCTTCGTTATATCCTACTGGGCCCTCGTACCCATCAGGCTCCTCAACACGCTCTTCACCTCTCTTCTACATTTATTCGATCATCCGTTCACTCTTAGTCTTTTCTGCGATAGCTTAGGGGCTCTGCGACACCCCTGCTCAGAGCATATGATGCAGGCAAAAGACCCGTCGGACCGAAGTAAAGCGCACTTATCCGACCTGAAGTTTTGGGTTATTGACTATTCGCCTTAGGCCCTCCCAACGATCTGATCAGAGAAGAGCCTGTGCATGTTCAGGCTACAGATGTTGTCCAAAATTGCGAGGCTGAACTTCGGGGCAAGAATGTAAAGACCAACTTGCTTGGGCCTCTATTTTGGTCGCAATCTCTGCTCGATGTACAGAAGTGGTCTGATCTTGTTTTTGCAACTTGGTCGTGTCGTCAGGGCGACGTAGTTTGACACATTTTGTCCGAACTCCTCTGCAATAATAGTTATGATAATTCCCAGCGTTGGATCATGAACTTGGTACATTTCAAGACGTAATCTCCATCTTCAATGGGTATTGCCAGTCTTGGAACGAAGCTACAAACGAGTAAGGTCAATCCATTTACCTGCTTTCTGTCGAAAGGTTGTGCTACCACTCCCCCTTCTGTACTGGCCCATCTATCTAATTCCTACCCTTTTATCTAATTATTGTCCTATCAAAACTTTCGACTTGTTTATGCTCGATTATTTTGGAGGTGTGCTCCTTTTTGGCGAGTTTAATGGGGCGTTATCACTGACGCTGTCTACTACATTGCCATCGAAACGTCTTGAAATGTACCAAGTCCATGCTTCAACGCTGGGAATTATGATAGCCACTATAGCAGAGGACTTCGAACAAGGTGTGTCCAACTAGGTCCTCCTGAAAACACAACCAAGTTGTGAAACTGAGGTCAGACCACTTCTTAGGGGCAAGAAACCTGTTGAGCAGTAACGCTTCAGTATCAGACGGCATTAGCGTCCACAGGCGAAAATGGGTTAGTTTGACATAATGAGGATTCGAAACCATGAGTAATCCGTAATAAGCTCAGTTTCAATCTAGGCGCTTAATGTGATCTAAGGACTGTCTGCGTAGTGTTTACCACACTGCTAAGATTAGGCCTCACGATGCCAGTGAACTTCACTTAGCCTTATCACCAAAAAGGCTTTTTCATCCTGTTTGGACCTCAGTTTCCATCTCGCTTTGGTCTCATCAACGTCCTCACAGGGTTTCGAAACGAGGTCGTATGCATCTTAGCAGTGGAGTAACACTTCACTATAGAGCCCAGTCTGTCAATGACAGGGAAGATGTGAATTTTAAGACAAGTCAGGACCCCTTCCGATGATGTTCACGGTCCTGTCTCGAAACCCATCGGGAGCGCTGATGCAAATCAGGCGAGGTTAAAGCTGCAGTTCACTCAGAATAAACAGGCCTTCTGAAAGGGAAGGCATCGTGAGGCATTGTGGAAAGAACACCACTTTTGATCCTTTAGGGATTTACGGTTACTATGGGCCTGCTCAAGTATGATGAAAAGTCTGATCTTGTGGGGCATCTCAGGATCTGGCTGGTAGGACAGCCCTTGTTGTGTATCACGGATATATGCTTTGTCAGTTCCCCAGCATGAATGGAGGATAACTTGGTCCACAGAGTTCGCAATTGGGGTGGTCAACTTTGTGAGCGTATCCAACAGTTTGTGTCGTACGCTGGGCAGCAGATGCCCCGTTGAATGACATCACTTTGGACATGTTAGTTCACTTTCTTCAGAAGGTGCCTGAAAAATTCCGTCAAGTGATCATGGTTGTCAATCCTTGCTCTGTTCAATATAAATGAGGCTTGGATCATAGTTTATCATCGACTAAGTCTCACTCCTAAATGAGGATAAATACTCACTTTCACATAGGTTTGAAAAATGGACTGATCAGAGGGAACCTGTAATTGTTGTCGGGCGAGTCAAGCTAATTCATTATGGTTACAAGATGGAATTGTCTAGATCGAATTATTTACTAAAGAATCCTGATGGCAACTATTGCTATTGGCGTGTCTTAAAGATTGGATCCCGCCAAAATTCCTTCTTAACTTAGATTTTCCATTAATGCACTCATACACTTCATAGTGTAAGTGAATTCGGCCGAATTCATCCACTTTAAAACGGCATCGCTCAACAATAACTTGGCATAAAATAACAATCAGGGAGCGTACTGAAAATACTTTCTGAGCATATTCTTCTACACGAGTTACACATTCAGATATGCTTTGGCGTTACCTTCGTCTTTAAAGAAATCTGTAGTTTTAACTTAGAATTTTTTGGTGATTATAATTTTACTGGAAACCAATTTCGAATTATTAATAATCGGAGAAAAATTATCCTCCTTTTGTTAAGCTTACTTCCATTTTTAGTAAAAGTGTTTAGGGAAGAGTTTCAAAGGTCGATCCCAATAGAAGATGATGGCGGATTACTCTTGACCAGCTGTCGATTGGCTTTACTAGAACATTCTTGTTGACGCTCTTTCCGATTTCGGTGAAAAATTACTAAGCTTTCGTCCATCGTATTACGGACATCATCAGAGCAGGATATCATCCTCACAACCATATTCAAGTTAACGAGTCAAGAAAACTCAACGGCTCATCCCCAAAATGCTGTATATATATATATACTTTATATCTAAGATCCTTAATGAGGTATAAAGTGATTTGCTTAGTTCAAGTCATATTTCAACCTCGTGACATGTGAACGTGTCTGTTTGTGTATGTCTATGGGCCCGCAGTCCATCCTGGATGAGAACAAATTTTGGGAAGGAAAGACCATGTTAAATTTACTCTACTCATATCATTGTGAAAAAAAATCTACCATCAGTCCTTCCTCAGCATAAGCGAAATAGGGTGAATACATCTCATAGAGAAAGAGTGGACTAAAAAGTACTTAAAAGTGACTGTAGATAGAACCAATACAAGAAAAGACTAGTTGAGTCGCCTCCTAGTCTTCTCTTGTCCTGGTTCTAATCACAGTCACTTTTTTGTACTTTTTAGCCCACCGAAATCGAAGGAGATTGTCTCAAAAACCGCGTCAGCAAGAATATTCCATTAAAGCCAATCGACATCTGGTCAAGAGGGAGCTGCCGTTGTCTTCTAGTGGGACCGACATTCAAATCTCTTCTCCAAACACTTTCCCTCGAAATGGAAGTAAGCTCAACAATTATGAAGCAAGAGATTCCTCGAAACCCAACTTTTCCTCGCATATCCTTCTTTTTTATTCTGATCATACCAGGCTGAAGCGAGGCTCCGTGTGCTCACAAAAGAGCGCGCAGGCTATATGCAACGCATGACGCAACTGGAGACCAAACGGGATGAGGCTATCCGTGAAGCGGCTCTCATCAATGGACGAGCTAGCGCCGAGCGTGAGGTGACACTAGCGAGAAATCGCGAGTTGGCTGAAATACGTGAAGAACGGGACGCCATCCGACGCGAGTTGTACGATTTGGGCCAGCTGCGGTTGGCCGATCTGGCGGAAAAACAGAATGAACTGGTACAATTGCGGGCTCGTCTGCGTGAGGTTGAGACGCAGGGACAGGCCAAGTTGGAACAGACAACTATGGAGCTGGAAAGGCTCCGAGAGGAGCTTGAAAATCTTCAGGTAACCGGGCTAAATGTTACATTGCATTGTACAGAAATTGAGAGGATTCTTCTCTCTTCCGACTCTTTTTGCTCCTTTCTGTGCTCTTGAATTTGTTCTTAACTTTTTATAACAATGTTCACCTCTTGAAAATATAGCTTTTCCTTTCTGTCCCTGCAACCGGCAGACCGAGGTGCAGTTGTCACAGGCCTCCGAACTCAATCAGAAAGCTAACAACCGTCAGCTGAAGCGTCAGGTAACCGAACTCGAGGACCACATGGAGAGCTACACCCGCAAAGTGGTCGACCTCGAGCATCAGGCCAGCGACCTGGAGGCTGAGTTGTCACGGACGAAGGCCCAGCTGGTGGCTGTCCGGAAGGCCGGGCAGACGGCCTATCGGGCCGGGCAGGCGAGGGCGATGGAAGACTGGTCGTCGATTGGCCACTCGTTTGGGGGCGCCGTCTCCGGAGAACTAGACTGCATGGACGACCAGGCCGTCGAGGAAGCGATGGACGCAACAACCTCGCCAGTGGGCAAATACTCTGAGGTTCCCTCGGTGGCCAAGAGGATGATCGACAGGTTGGTAAAAATGCCAAGTTCAACCACATCAGCCGCCGTCGCGGATATGAAATAAGGTTGTGGGGCA